AGAGAGAGAGCAAGCCAGCACTAGCAGGGGGAGCGGCAGTCTAAGGGAAAAGCAGGCTCCCCACTGAGCAAGGAGCCTGATGCGGGACTCGATCCCAGGACCCTGGGATCACGACCTGAGCAGAAGGCAGACGCTCAACTGACTGAGCCACGGAGGCGTGCCTCTCGTCCCCATTTTAGAGAAAACTAAGGACTTATGAGGTTAAGCATCACCACTGAGCAGTCGTATCTTGGGGACTGGACCCCAGGCAGTATGCCCCAGAGCTCACTCTTCACCTCTCACCACACTGCCTCTCACATGGCTTGGCTGGCCGAGTTGGCCGTTATCTGTCTTCCACCCACTAGACTCGCAGCTCCCCGAGGTCTCCCTCTCCATCGGAGTGCCCCACTGCTCTGAGTGCCCAGCTGACTACAGCTGCTCAACGGATACTTATTGACAGAGTAACTCAAGCAATCAAGCAATAAAACTAAGGAACATATAGAGACGAGGAAGGATTTCTGAAACTAGAACACTGACCCTTCTGGGTTAAAACCTTGATCCACAGTAAATATCCATCACCCATGAGATGAAGAAACCAGATAACAGTCTAAAAGTAAACCCAGTTGTTCCTCTTGAAGTACCTTCCCTGTGTATCTTACAGCTCTTTTTTATAGCCCCTTCTGAAAAATGCTTCCTGTTCCCCAAGAGTTTCCCAAACTCTTCCATATTATTAAAACTAGATTCATCTTTACTTAGGTAATGGTTTCTTACTAACAATCAAATGAAAATTCTTAATCAAGAAATGTAGCACAAGACTGTGGAACATTACCGGGAAAGTATTTTTGCCACATGCTTTTACAGAGTTTAAAATTTTCCACAGGGGTGTTGTTCGTAGTAAAGATCGTAACAAAAAAGTGGCTGACGTCATTGACGACTAGCACGTGCAGGTACTGCTCTAAGTGCTTCTCTTGGATTTTTCATTTAATCCTCCCAATAACACTCTGAGTTAGAGCCTGCTCAAGCCTCCGTTTGCAGAGGAGGAAAGAAGGTACAAAGTGGTCAAGTAAACTGCCCAAGGTAACAGAGTCACCAGCAAGCCCACACAAGTCCCTCAAAAGTGTCATAAAGACAATGACTTCTTATTTAAAAGAGGGCAACTTTCCTTTGATGAATTCAAAGAGAATACACATTGGTTTTGAGATAAAGCAGACAAAAAAATATAACTTCTACGCCGCTAACTGCAGACCCTAATCTTGTCTAGCTCTACAGCAACCACTCCCTACAAGCAGGTTAATCTTAACTTGAAAATCAAGAAAACAGCAAAGAAATTAGCATTAAAGAATTCCTGAAGCCTTTCTCCTCCTGACTTTCCTACACTCATCAGACATCACCTCCAATAAACTCTTTCCTTTCTCACTCCTCGTATAGTCTGTAAAAATATGGGCTCCCTTCCACCAAGACTTAAAGACATCTAGTTTTATAAAACTCAGGATCCTTCTATGCCATGACATCATGACTCATGACCATGATCATTAACAGCTGTTCACTTTGGAGGTGACGGCGGGGACCAGACAAACTCCTGTCACAAGAAGGGAAGGGAGAGTCCACGCTGACACACTGACAGCCCTTTGCACTCCCCAGGTTCCAGCCTGACCTGTGATCCTCAGTGGGGTGTCTCTTTAGCCCGATGTGTCATCACAACATCTCCAGCCAGTTGCGAAAGTTGTAAAAGTCACAGAGGAGAACCACCTCTGGAGACAAAAAAAAAAAAAAAAGGAAAACCCCAATCTCCAAAAGAGACCCAAAGGGAAGAAAGAGAAAGGGTCTGTGGTGGGCCTTCTTAGCAAGAGAAAAGAGCTGGAAGCCATTGCAGAGACCACTTAGTCGCTTTATCAGACAGGGAAACTGAGGCTGCCATCAAAGGGCACAGGGGACCAACTAGGCTCCCACAGGCACCCCAGGGGAACTTCAGAGGTCAGCTCCAGGGCGTCGAGGGGGCCAGTCGAGCTTTCCCAAGCGCCCAGCGCTGCCAGCTGGAGTCTCTGGGCCGGTGCGTGCTTCCCAGCTGGGTCACAGGTGGCCTGCGGTGTCGGCCCCGCTCACAGGAGCCCCTGTGGGTGCACCCCAGTCCTCTCTCGCGGGGGGGGGGTCCCCGAGCTCGCCTCCAGCTGTCTGAGGAACTCACGGGGTCCACTCCGCCACCCCCAAAAGCAGCCCCCGTGTGTGCTCCCCCGCCCGGCGTCAGGAACCACAAGTGTGTGCCCCCGGCCCCCGGGACCCCCCGAGGCTGCCGCCTCCCGCCCCCGGGACCCCCAGGTGCCCGCCCCGCCCAGGACCCCGATGTGCGCCCCCTCCCCTCCTCCTTGCTGAGGCTGGGGGCGGCGCGCGGCCCAGACCCAGACGAGGCCCAGGCGCCGCGGCCGCAAGTGCGACGTGTCACAGGCTGGGCCGGCTCCTCCTCCCGCGGCCGCGGCCACTGCCGCAGCGGGGGCCGCCCGCGGGGTTCGGCACGGATGCCCAGCAAGGCTGAACACGCCCGAAGGCCGTTACCTTGTTGGTGGGCACCGAGCGGAGGCGCTTGAAGATGGTCAGGATGTCCTGCTTGCTGGGGTCCCCCATGGCCACCAGAGAAACGAGGCGCAGCCGGCCCGGCCAACCGGGAAAGTCGGAACAGGAGCGGCTGCCGCCTCGCGGAGAGAGACGGCGGCCGAGGGGGCGGGGCTGCGCGTGACGGCCAGGGCCCGTCCCTCCCGGACCCGCCCCGGACCCGCCCACAACCGGAGCTCACGCGCCCCCTCTCTTCTCGCGGCCCTCGCTCAGCTGCACGGCTGGCTCCGCCCGCTCGAGCCCCGCCCCGGCGCTGCCCGCGCGTGCGCAGAAGCCTCGCGTTCCTTCTTCCCGCAGTGTCCGGAGGTTCGATCGGGGCCGTGGAGGGCTGAAGCTGGGGTCGGCTAGGCTTGGCTCCTGCGCGCTCGGCCGTGGGACCCGCCACCACTTGGACTGGTCGATCGCCACTTGGACCGACGGACTGCTTGCTTGGCCGAGGTCTTCTCACCCCGTCCTCGTGAGGGCACAGAACCAGTGCCTCCAGGTGGCAGAGTAGGAAACGTGAGGGGAAGGACCTACCCGCCACCCCGGGCCCCGCTTTTCGCAAGTGCCCCCCCCCCCCTTTTTTTTTTTTTTTTTTTTGCATTAAGCTAAAGCCGAGCCCTGGGTGGGAAGCTTTCATCGCCCGAGAATTGGTTTTCTGTTTAAAGTACCTGTTTGGGGATCAGGTCAGAGAGAGCAGTTGTCGTGAGGCTCAGTCCGAACTGGTGAATACAGACCAGAAAAGCCGCGGGACTTTTCCTAGCGCCCCGGGCTGCGGCCCTCCCCGTGGCTGACATTACAGAAGGGTTCGAACTCGTGGAGAAAGGTGCCTCTTTTACTGTCGTGGGTGTGGAGCCGCTGGAAAATTGTCCCCTGAGGTTCGGTGGCGCAATGCAAGGAAAACAGGTTTACCCTGGCTGCAGGCCTGATTCAGCCCGCTCCTTCCTAGCTCGGTGACCTTGGTCGAGTCATTTCTCCAAAACCGGGCTTGCTCATGTGTACAATGGGGCTAGAGATAAAGAATCCGTGCTGAGCAACGGGGAGAGAGCAGCTTCCCCGGGGGAGCTCCGGAAAAGCCTTTGGCAGTGCTTTTCTGCTTTTAGAAGCTAGGAATGCTCTTTTTGGGGCGCCTGGGTGGCTCAGTCGTTAAGCGTCTGCCTTCGGCTCAGGTCATGATCCCAGGGTCCTGGGATCGAGTCCCACATCGGG